TCCTCTCCTCCCTCCTCTCTCCCTTCCTCTCTCCTCCTCCTCCCCTCTTCCTCCTCTCCCTTCTCCCCTCCCTTCTCTCCCTCCTCCCATCTCTTTCTTCCCCCTCCTCTCCCTCTCCCCCGTTCTCCCCTCTCTTCCCCTTCCCCCCTTTCCCGTTCTCCACCCCCTTTCTCCCCACTCATCCCCACTCCTCCCCCTCCCCTCTGTGCTGCTCTTCCAGGCCCTGCCTCTTGGTTCCTTGTGGATCTTACCTGTATTGGCTCAATAAACAAACGTAATGGCTATTTAAACATCCCTTTGGAACACTGTTAAGACGCCAAGGTTCACATATTATAAATCGTAATTATTTACTGCTCAGCCTTTTAATATTTGTAGGATTTCCTGATCGTCATTTCGATTAGAACATCTTACAGCTTTCCCAAATTTCTTTTATGTTTCCAATTTTTTTTAAAGAAGTATCTTACTGATTGGATTACTTAGTGAAATATTTGGCTTTTCTAGAGGTTTAATTAACACTAAATACTTTGAAGCATGTCTGAAGTCCCAGCTACTCGGCAGGCTGAGACAGAAGGATCTGAGCTCAGGAGTTTGAGGTTGCTGTGAGGTAGGCTGTTGTCACCGCACTCTAGCCTGGGCAACAGAGTGAGACTCTGTCTCCAAAAAAAGGAAAGAAAGAAAAAGAAAAAAAATACTTTGAAGCTTTTAATGTCCATAAAAATTATCTTTCTCTTTCCTCCTATGTTTCCCACCTTGTTCTATTCTTTTACTAATTAGATATGAATAATGTAATATCCACAAATCATATACTTTTTTGGCAACCATAAATTTATAGGATTATAAATGCTCTATCTTTAAGAAATATACTTCAGAGTTTAAAATAGGTTTTTAAAGTTAAGTTCATCACAAATTAGATTGAGGCAAATTATTTCTATTGAGAGTTTTTCTTTGTTTCATTGATGTCTCTCTTTTCTGCTTACTCAAATACTGTGTTTGTTGTACTGAACTTGGAAATGTTCGCGGTACCATGAAGAAACTCAAATTTTAAGTCATTTACTACAAATAATCATATTTTCCTTCTTTCATGGGAAGCTAAGTAACTTTGTATTACATATTAATTTTGTCCTGGCCACAACTACACCACTTGCCCGGGGAATTTCCCTCCTCATAGCCCCAGCTGATCATTGTCTGGTCAATACCTGCCCACCCATGCTCCCAGGGCGAACTCCACACATGCACACACTCTGGGCCCCACTCGGAGTGGACTGTCTCATCCTGCCCGCTGTGATGCAGCCTGGCACAGTCAGGAGACGGAGTCAGCCAGATAGAGACCTTTCCTTTTCTTCATTGCAGCCATAGCATCTGCCTGAAGGTGGCTGCTTAATAAATGCTTGTGAGATGGATAAACCAGATTCCTTTTCTGCAGTTTAGTCTGGTGCATGCTGTGGCAATGAGTCTAACAGGCCTCAGGAAGAGAGGAGGGCTCTTTGGCTGCAGGGAGCAGAGGCCAAAGTGGAGTGCAGAGGTCCCCAAGCTCAAACCTAACCCCCACCCTCGCCCTAGCACTGGAGAAAATCCAGGGGCTGCCTCAGCATCCCCTGCAGGCATTCCTGAAGTATCCTGAGGACTGGATGTTTTCCCCAGAGAAGGTGTGATTCATTTACCCCAGGGCTGTGGAAAAGATGTGATTCACTTACACCAGGGTTGTGCCTGCCAGAGCCTCTGGAGGCAGAAGTATAAGGAAGTAGTCTTGAACTTTGGTGGTTTTGCTTTGAAAAAGCCTGATCTGGATATATTGCTGTGTTTTGCTACTAAGCTTTTTATGCAGTAAATGATAGTGTGACATTGCCAAATTACTAAAAATTCTCAATAGTATAAGCAGTGTGATTTTTATGTAAAATGATACTGAACTAGAAGTATTAGAAGTCCTTTGGTTTTTGTTTTGGGGCTAGGCTTTTTTTTTTTTTTTTTGAGACAGAGTCTCACTTTGTTGCCAGGGCTAGAGTGCCATGGCGTCAGCCTAGCTCACAGCAACCTCAAACTCCTGGGCTCAAGCGATCCTGCTGCCTCAGCCTCCCGAGTAGCTGGGACTACAGGCATGCGCCACCATGCCTGGCTAATTTTTTCTATACATTTTTAGTTGGCCAATTAATTTCTTTCTATTTTTAGTAGAGAGCAGGTCTCGCTCTTGCTCAGGCTGGTCTCAAACTCCTAAGCTCAAGCTATCCTCTCACATCAGCCTCCCAGAGTGCTAAGATTACAGGTGTGAGCCACCGCGTTTGGCCTGGAGTAGGCTTAATAGTGAATCCGGTTGCCTTTCTATTCTAAATCATTTAAGGCACTTATTACAAATATTTTCTCTTCTTAATAATCTCAACAGTTTTAGAGTAAATTTTGTGATTCCTGTTCTGCATTTATATAAATAAGCAAAACACATTAGAAATTCAGCAATGTTAGCGGACATATTTTGATTTGTGTTTCATGTACGTAATATGGAAAATTCAGGGTGTGTGCACAGCATTGATTGTGCAGTTGCTCTAGATGAAAAGCAATCGAATTTTACTGTAGCAGAAAATCTTTGCCTCTATTTAGGGCATTGCCTAGTTTAAGATATTAAAAAATGTCAGGACACTTTCCCTGCCCTGCAATGAAGGGGTGATCACTACACCTAATGAGGGTTTTGTGGGAAATAGGAAACATTTATATAGAATTTTTAAAACTTTAGTTTGATATTATTAGGTCCAGAGCTGAAAGGGAGACACAGAAGCCTCATGTGAAGCAAAATGCTGTTTGTTTAAGCATCTGGGTGCTGATGGGTGGAGGCTGAAAAGAGCCTTCACCCCAAGGGAGGGGAGAGCCTTCGGTTTTATAGAGGGTTTTTTGGGGGAGTGAACCACTGGGCCAAAACAGGGGCTGTAATAAATTCTTTTCAAACTACAGAGAGGGATTAGGAAAGTAAGTTGTTCCCCTCTTGCATTCCATTCCTTTATCTCCCTAGGGGCCTGGCTAAGGCTATGTGCCTGTTACACGCCTGGGAAGGGGAGAGCAGTGGGTTTTATAGGAGGTTCGGATGAAAGTTTGGGGAGGGTGAGTTCTTCAAGCCTAACAGATGTGATTATAGATTCACGTACAGTTGTAAGATATGATACAGAGGGATCCTGCAGAGTGGATTGCTCCAGTGGTAGCCGTTGCAAAGCTGTAGTATAAGCAGGAAATTGTCACTGATAAACTCCATTCATTGGCCCAGGAAGATCGCACTGTATGCGCTCGAGTGTGTGTCTGGACCTGTGCCATCAGCCTTACCACGTGTGTGGATTCACGTCAAGACACAGGACATTTCCATCCCACAAGGGTCTTCCTTCCACAGCTACCCCCTCCCCTTCCCTAACCCCTGACAGCCACTAACCTGTTCCCCGTCTCTGTAACTTTGCCATTTTGAGAATGTTATATAAATGGAATGATACAGTAGGTGACCTTTTATTCACTTAGCCTTGAGATCTATCCAAGTTGTGTATATTAAAGAATTCTTTATACAAACATTTGTATTTAAGAATTCACTGTAGGCCGGGCGTGGTGGCTCATGCCTGTAATTCTAGCACTCTGGGAGGCTGAGGCGGGCGGATCGCTCAAGGTCAGGAGTTTGAAACCAGCCTGAGCAAGAGCGAGACCCGGTCTCTACTGTAAATAGAAAGAAATTAATTGGCCAACTAATACATATGGAAAAAATTAGCCGGGCATGGTGGCGCATGCCTGTAGTCCCAGCTACTCGGGAGGCTGAGGCAGGAGGATTGCTTGAGCCCAGGAGTTTGAGGTTGCTGTGAGCTAGGCTGACGCCACGGCACTCACTCCAGCCTGGGCAACAAAGTGAGACTCTGTATAAAAAAAAAAAAAAAGAATTCATTGTAAAGACAGAAATCCAAAGTGTCTTTTTAGTAATTAAGAAAGAATAATAATAACACTGAAGCTAAAGATATTTACTCACAAAAAAACCTTACCACTGTTAATGGGGGGGAAAAGCCAAACTCTGTAAGATAATTTAAATAGATTTACTCTGAGCCAAATTTGAGAACCAGGACCCGGAGCCATGCTCAAGATGCCTTGAGCAAGTGGACTCGCTGTGGCTGGGTTACAGTTTGGTTTTATACATTTCAGTGAGACAGGGGTTAACCAGGTAAAGTCATAAATCAATAGGCAGGAGGCATACATTGATTTGGCCGGAAAAGGTGGGCCATCCTGGAAGGGGGGGTGTTTATAGGTTATAGGTAGGTTTAAATATTCTTTGACTTGTAATTGTTTAAAGGCTTGGAATGTTTTAACACAGGAGGTGTCTATCAGAGATATGCCACCTGATATCTATTTGTTGTATAAATTGAGGACCTGCTGGTTTGTTTTGTATACCCTTAGGCCTGTTAATGGGTTACCCCCAAAAGGGAGGGGGGCATGATGAGGCTTGTCTGCCCCCCTGCCTCCTGACAGGCAATTTAGTTTTAGAATATTCCTTGGGCCACAAGGGGGTCCATTCAGTCAGCCAGTGTGTGTGGGGGGGTGAGTCTTAAATTTTTATTTTAGTTCACACTATAGTTCAGTAGTTCATAGGATTTTGTAGCCAAGTTTGAAGATGAAATGAGTTTGAAAAAGGGATAATTTGTATTTTAAGAGTCTATAAATAGTTTCAATTTCATGTTCATGTTGTAAGTATGTTTCAGTGGAGAATTTCAGTATAGCTACGACTAAAGTCCTCAAAGATCTCTCATAAAAATTCATGGCTCCTTTGGGCATGGGGTAGACAGATAACTAATTTCAGGAGCCTGGTTGAGGAAGGAGCCAGAAATGAAGCTTTTAATAGAAAGGTGTGATTCACACACACACTGCCTTGCAAGTTGTTTTTCTGAAGGCATGAAATCCATTGAAGAATCACCTTTTGAGATCTTTTGGGGAAAGTGGGAAGCAAAACCAAGGCATCTCAAATGTCTGCCTTGGTTCTGGAAAATACTAAAAGTGCAGTTTGAAGTAACCAATGAATTATTTCTCTCCTTTGGAACTAGAGAAGCTTAGCTATTGAATAGTCATTAGAATAACAATTTGCTAGGTAGGACTAAATGATTGGCTAATTGTTTATTTATAAGGTGGAAACACTTGTACTTAAAGTTGTATTGGAACTAACCTAAAATTGAATGCTGGGTTAGGTGTTCTCATTTATCCCACTGTTTAGGAAGTGAGCTATTTTAGATCAGTGAATTCTCCAGGGACCATTGGCTTATCTATTAGGTACCAAGGTTTCTAAGAATGTATTGAAATTGAATACTTTTTAACTCAAATGTAGTCTTTTCTTGGTGACTTTCGTGTATGTCAATGGAAGAAAAGCCAAACTCTGTAAAATAATTTTAAAGAGATTTATTCTGAGCCAAATTTAAGGACCATGACCCGGAGCCACTGCCAAGAAGCCTTGAGCAAGTGGACTCGCTGTGGCTGGGTTACAGTTTGGTTTTATACATTTCAGGGAGACAGGGGTTACTGGTAAAGTCGTAAGTCAATACATGGGAGGCATACATCAGTTTGGCCTGAAAGGGTGGGCCATCTTGAAGTGTGGGGGGTGGCTTATGGGTTATAGGTGGGTTTAAAGATTCTTTGACTTGTAATTGGTTAAAGACAAGAAGCTTTGTCTAAAGGCTTGGAATGTTTTGAGACAAGAAGCTGTTTATGAGAGATAAGCCACCAGGCGTATTTGTTGTATAAATTGAGGACCTGCAGGTTTGTCTTGCAAAGCCTTAGACCTGTTCATGGGATGTCCCCAAGAAGGGAGGGGGCAAGATGAAGCATATCTGACCTCCCTCCTCCTGGCAGGCAATTTAGTTTTAGGATATTCCCTTGGCCAAGAGGGGGTCCATTCAGTCAGTCAGTGGGGGGCGAGCCTTAAGATTTTATTTTAGTTCACACTTGTTAGTTGTCCGACACAGTAGTATCTTCAGGATCTACTGAGGTGTATATAATTTAGCCCTCACTAAATAATCTGGCTTGTAGGCTTGTTAGTTCTCCTGTTTGTTTTCATAAAGCTTGTCTGTCTCTCTCTGTTGGCTGTTGTTTTTTGCTTTGGTCACAATGCTATCTCCCAGAAATGCCACACTTATTTTTTCTGTGTCTAATCTGCTTTGCCTGGGGGACCAGATCAAACCTACTAGAATTGGATGAAATTATACGGATATTTTAGTAGCCAGGTCTCCAGGTAGGGGAAATGTTGGTATGTTTGGCGGTTGAGTGGCAATGCTTGACGTGACCACCTATCAGATGCTGCTGTTAGGAATGATTAGATGGTATGTAATAGAGCTTTGTTGTTTCCTTTAAACTTTATAAGTCCTGTGTAAATAAGTGGTAGGTTTGGTTCTTTGTCTTGTTTGGCTCAGCTACGTGTGACCAGCGATCTCCTAGCGGCAGAGATGTCCATGGGATCAGGCTGTCCGAGGCCAAGTCCCGTGGATGCTTGTTAGAGCGGTGGCACTCCTGCCTGTCTTGTTCATCACTTCTTCCTCCCTCCGTCTGTTTTCCAGCCTCTGCGTTGTTCTTTCTCCGTGACCTTTGCTGTTGGCAACCAGTAGCTTCCACTTGCTCCTCCAAGAACACTCCTTCCTGTTGGGGTCCAGCCCTGCCCTCTGCCCGTCGCCAGCTGAGGCCCGCGGCCACAGGGGCACTGACACCTCTCTCATTCGTCTGAAAGTAATTTTCAGAAAGCAGGACTCTTGTCTATGTTACATCTGCGAGGATAAATTAATGTGTATTACTTTAGTTCTTCCTGAAGAAAGGAAGAGGAGGAGAATGGATTTGGATGATAGAAAATGTTTGAACATTTCGTAAAGCCCTAGAGATCCAGGTATGATTCTATTTTTGTGATTTTTTTTTTTTTTTTTCAAATCCTTGATGTCTTACTAAGCATTTAACTGTAGACTGGCTTGGGAAATTTGGAAAAATTCCAAATTATTTTAGAAAGCAAGCCAAGTGGCAGAGCAAGCTAGTAGCAGCTCAGAAGATTCCATTTCTGGAATGATGATGAGCATGGTTTTCCCAGGCAGCCACTGGTCTGTGGTCGGGGAGTCGATGGTATTTTTTGGCCTTTGATACGGGGACCCTCTTAACGAATTAGATTTGGAGTTGCTACATAGATGAGGCTAAGTTTTCTCTTTAAAAAATTGCCTTTAAACCTTTAAATTCAGATGTAAGTAACCTTTAATCTCCACTCATCGCCAGGCAGCGTAAAAGGTACATTAACATTCAGCATTTGATTTCAGTCTATGTTCAGATGTTGATATTAATCTAGGAAAAATAATATTTTCTTCAGAAAGGTGACAGCGTTCTGGCCCTAATTACATAAATGCTGTAACTCTGGTCTCAGTAGCAGTGATTCGTGGTTTAACTGTACGTGATGATCTCTTTCAGCTGAACATGTGCATCTAAAATGCAAGGCCGACACAGCAGGGGTCTGTGGATTGCCTCGCCCTGCGCTCTGCCCCCAGATCATGAAGACTCCAGGACAACGTCTCTTCTGGGCGCTGCTCCCCCTGCTCGCGCTGGCGGCGCAGGCGGCAGACCACGCGGAGGTGGCGAGGCACGCGATCAAGCTGCACCGGGGCAGAGGCGCGGCCCTCACTCCCAGGAAGCAGTGGGTGCTGGACAGCTGCAGGAAGCTCTCGGGGCTGCTCCGCCAGAAGAACGTGGTTCTGAACAAACTGAAAAGTGCCATCAGGGTGGTGGAGAAAGATGCCGGCCTGTCCAGCGAGGAGAAACTGTTCCAGGTGCACACGTTCGAAATCTTCCAGAAGGAGCTGAATGAGAGTGAGAATTCCGTCTTCCAGGCCATCTACGGACTGCAGAGGGCCCTGCAGGGAGATTACAAAGACGTGGTGAACATGAAGGAGAGCAGCCGGCAGCGTCTGGAGGCCCTGAGGGAGGCAGCCATCAAGGTCAGGCCTCACCTGCTGGGAGGGAAGGAGGGGGGTGTGGACACCGCTGATGTCTCAGCCCGCGTCACCTGTCCCTCGGAAATCACACCTGGAAAGTCTCTGGCCGGAGGGAGAGTCTTTTTCCTTTTGCACAATAGCGTAGATACCACTTCTAGAAAGAGCCGGTCTCTAATGCTTGCTTTTCTTGGGGAAATTTTCTCCTTTTGGGAAAATTCCTGGGTGATTCAAAAAGTTATTCAAGTTGTGCTAATAAACTGACGTGGAAGTAAACATATTTATAACTTCAACATTTTGCCAAGTTTCTGCAGAAATTCCTGTTAAGGTGAAGTTTGACTTTCTTCAACGTGATTTTATTGGAAAAAATGTTAAATTTAAACAAGTGCATACATTTAATTTAAAGGCTTTGACCAAGTATGCTTTTGAAATGATGAGAAGAAACTGATGATTTTAAGCTGTATCAGATGTGATCCTATTTATGCTACTTACTTTAAAGCCATCGTTTCCTGAGTACCTGTTATATACCAGGCATCTTACTAAGCCCTGTAAATATAAAATATCATTTCATTTTCATAGAAAAGTCTATGGTATTATTACACAGCTTTGAAAGTAGAGAGAATATAGACTGATTAAGCTTTCTTTACCAAAATATGGTATTTTTTTGATAGAAATATGATCATCAGGCTGGTGTTTGATCATGGTTTTCAGTAATCCTGATTGGGTCATCTTGCCTCTGCCGTACATGTGTGAGCCATGGACTGCTGTCGGGCATTGGCGACAAACTGTAGTGCTGTCTTCGAGCAGGTGTTCCTGTCCTACAGGATCCTCTGGATAGTGGAGACATTCCTGGGTTTTATTATAAATAGGAATACTTACTGGGGTCCAGATTGATGGTTGTGTTATTATAAATAGAGAACAAATATGAGTTTGAGTAACATTGGCTCAAATACGCACACTTGATAGCACTTGAACAGTATTTCAGGTTACACCACCAGTTCCTACCTCCTGTTTCTGAGGCTTTCCAGGTGCTGGTGACCTGCAGCTGTGTGTTACACCTGCAGGTGTGTGCTGGACCTGCAGCTGTGCCAGACCTGACCTGGGGTCCCGACCTGCAGGTGTGGTCCGGACCTGCAGCTGTGTGTTAGACCTGCAGGTGTGTGTTAGACCTCCAGCTATGCCAGACCTGAGCTGTGGTCCCAACCTGCAGGTGTGGTCCGGACCTGCAGCTGTGTGTTAGACCTGCAGGTGTGTGTTAGACCTCCAGCTATGCCAGACCTGAGCTGTGGTCCCAACCTGCAGGTGTGGTCCGGACCTGCAGCTGTGTGTTAGACCTGCAGGTGTGTCCTAGGCCTCCAGCTGTGCCAGACCTGAGCTGGGGTCCCGACCTGCAGGTGTGGTCCGGACCTGCAGCTGTGTGTTAGACCTGCAGGTGTGTGTTAGACCTCCAGCTGTGCCAGACCTGAGCTGTGGTCCCAACCTGCAGGTGTGCCCGGACCTGCAGGTGTGTGCAAGACCTCCAGCTGTGCCAGACCTGAGCTGTAGTCCCGACCTGCAGGTGTGGTCCGGACCTGCAGCTGTGTGTTAGACCTGCAGGTGTGTGCTAGACCTGCAGCTGTGCCACACCTGAGCTGTGGTCCCGACCTGCAGCTGTGTGCTAGACCTGCAGGTGTGTGCTAGACCTGCAGCTGTGGTCCGGACCTGCAGCCGTGTATTAGACCTGCAGGTGTGTACTAGACCTGCAGCTGTGGTCTGGACCTGCAGGTGTGTGTTAGACCTGCAGGTGTGTACTAGACCTGCAGCTGTGGTCTGGACCTGCAGCTATGTGTTAGACCTGCAGGTGTGTACTAGACCTGTAGCTGTGGTCCGGACCTGCAGCTGTGTGTTAGACCTGCAGGTGTGTACTAGACCTGCAGCTGTGGTCTGG